CACGCCAGCTCCCCTGCATGCCTGCATACATCGACGATGCCACTGCGCACCAGCGTGCTCGAGTCCTCCACCATGCTGGTATGATCACACTCCAGTCCCTACACCACACACACACACACACAGATATATGATGCATAGCACTGTAGCGTACACACGAGGCCAGCACAGCAAGATAAAGACTCCGCTATGATATGTCGTAAATGTTCTGGGATGATAATCCAGCTACAATATATAATTATAATATATGTTTCCTTTATAATATATCGTAAATGTTCTGGGATGATAATCCAGCTACAATATGTAATTATAATATATGCTTCCTTTATTATATATAGTAAATGTTCCGGGATGATAATCCAGCTACAATATATAATTATAATATATGCTTCCTTTATAATATATTGTAAATGTTCCGGGATGATAATCCAGCTACAATATATAATATATATTTCCGCTAATCTACGTTTCCGCTATAATATAGCATATATCTTCTGAATGCTATATCAATCTACACATTCTGGATAGCTCTCAGTGGACGTATCCATATCTGTGCCATGTTTGTAATACATAATTAACATACTTGTGTACATGCGTGAATAATACATGTAAACTAGTTGTCAAGGCAGCCAGACACTTGACGGAGCAACGATACGCATACTAGTGTTGTTATCTTTCTCAGTCAAGAACGGAAAACAGTTAGACAGTAAGAGAACAGGATACGCACCTGCAGTAGGTGAGTGGCGTGGCGTCCCACTTGTCTGATGCTGCACACAAAGTTGGCGTGCATTTCCTTGCCCTCCTGCGATATACTCGTTGCCTCGCGCCAGTCTCCCGCCTGAACCCTCAGCACCTCCATACACATCGCCATGCGCACCACGTGCATCGCGCACTGGTCAGCTCCCGCTAACAAAACAATACAACGCTCATTAATTACCCGATTAATTACCGTAATAGTTCAATGATCTCATCTCTCGCAAAATGACACGTTCATCACATATAGGTTTACTCTTTTTATTTTGTGTTAGTGCATGACGCGATAAATCGCTGCAATCTCATTGGATAACGCAGCAGGCACTATGAAGCGATAGTGCCCGCCTGAGCGNGCCCGGCACGGTTACACCTCCCGTGTAATAATATTTGCCACACGACGCGCTTAACCGGTTCCCAATGCGTTGACATTTTTAGACGCCGTTTCGATTGTCTAAGAGCACACACATACCACACTATATATCCCTATTATCTACTCCTGATACGTATAGATAGATAGATGGAGATATAACAGCAGATATTGAATGAAAAGGCATTATTGGTATTTTCTTGGTTTTTCGTGATGGTCGATTCTATATGGTACATTAGTACTGCTAGATAATCAGTACATGGTTCACACACAAGTGTGAATTATTTTTTCTAGCCCTTTCAAGGACTTGGACCTATTTCCAAAGACTTTCAATGACAAGGGACGAGATTCAAGGACTTTATTTCAAGGGCTGTGGGGATCCTGGTGTCTACAAACTAAACGAATGTAAGATGTTGCAGATTATGAGTAACGACACATCACAGAATAACATTTTTAATATTCATGTTTTTGTTTATTAGGAGCGGTTTTAGCTCTCCACACTTCGATCATTGCCAACAAATTATAACACGTCACCCATGATAATAAATAAATATTGCAGCTTCTGTAGCCCATTCTCAGTTACCTACAATTCAACTTCAAGAACGAAAATGAATTGTGCTTCGCGACAATATTAAATGTGAAAATTCTACAATTGCAAATTACAAACTCCTCCGCACACATTCATTCCATACAAATTCTTGGCATTACACATGGTGTTAACATTGTGGGGTCGTCTTGCTATCCATAAATGCAAGTCAAGAGTGAGTTAAGCTTAACAGTATCTTACACGCTACATTGTATACAACTTATGTTATATATAAATTTCTATAATGAGTCCGATTATCGTGCTTTTTGATATATTTTCGTTTCATACCATATTTTTAATGGATAACATGAACCAATTATGTTACTTACTTTAACGTTTACTACTAACGTTATTTTACATTATCTACGATATGAAAATACCAAAATATACTGCACATTAGCGCGACAACAGTATTGTGTACATACAACAGTGACAATACCGGAATTTAGTTGTTTAACATACCTTTCTCGTTAAAACAGCAAAATACGTACAACTACAAAATTCGACTCCATCATTTTTACAACATTTTTTCTTCTGAGAGCATAGCAAAACTCAAAGCTCTCCTGTATAAGTAGTAATGCATAGAGCAATAGAGCGATATGTGCCTCCATTGAACAATGCTTCTATCAGACCACACCGACAAGCTTGTCCACTGATAGACGATATAATCCACCACGTACACGCACAATTCTTATTCAACATAAATACAATCTCCAAGCATTTAGCGTGTCTTCACAAGTACATCTCGTACTCTCCCCACGCTGACCTTCCCGTCCGCCGTGACCTCTACTTGCTCTGCGCTGACCTCCCCGTCCGCCGTGACCTCTACTTGCTCTGCGCTGACCTCCCTGTCCGCCATGACCTCTACTTGCTCTGCGCTGACCTCCCCGTCCGCCGTGACCTCTACTTGCTCTGCGCTGACCTCCCCGTCCACTGCGACCTCTACTTGCTCTGCGCTGACCTCCCCGTCCGCCGTGACCTCTACTTGCTCTGCGCTGACCTGCCGGTCCGCCGTGACCTCTACTTGCTCTGCGCTAACCTCCCCGTCCTTGGAGACCGCGTTGACTTCTGCACAGTCTGCCTCGTGTCTTCCAGCACCATCTGTACGAGCGACAGCCTTCCGCCGGCCCTGCCGTGCCTCTGTCGACTCGGCCGCATCAGGCTGACGAAGCGAGACACCTCGGGGGATTCGGGAACCTGGGCGTGACGCTGCGTGCAGGGCGACACTAATGCCAGGTTGAGGTGCGAGTAGCCGATTTGCCACTCTAGAAGATCGGTCAGCATCTGGACAGCTGCAACAGTCAACGACGCACGATTAAAACCACAAACCGCCAGTCCGGCTCGACACCAAACGAATGAATTCTCGATGGAGATATGTGCCGACCGAAGCATGTACGCACAAACAAATATTTTGCAGGTGAGAATTATGACACAAGTGAACTATCACTCGTGAGTGGTTAAGATAACAGGTTGTCGTTGAACGTCTTATGCATAGACACGCACGTGTCACTAAAAAACACCTGCACCCCATGTCAGTAGAAGAGAGCAGGAAGCACGTTGTTGTGAATACATATCTCACCATGTTGCACGTCCTGCAGCAAGTCCTCTACCTCGTCGCTACGGCAACCTGCAAACAGCTTGCAGGAACAGTCGCCGCCTGCGCAGTCGTCTGCATCATCGGTAGTGCCCTCTAGTGTCACGCCGAGCACGGACGCGAGTTTGCAGACTGTGCGCTTGACGCTGCGGGCGATGCGGCGAATCTCTGTGAGGTCATCCCTTTGACCTAGAAGTGGATAATGAAGCCGGCTGTCGTGACACTGCACACGCATACACGCCACATACTCCAGACAGCACGAGGAAAATATCGAATCTGTCTGTAGTGAATAAAAACAATTTGTTTTATCTAACATAAACAATTTCATTTGATCCAATAAAACGTAGTGAGGAAGAAACGACCTGATTAGCAACACTTGGTGCACACCGGCACATACATAGATGTTACATCTGGTTAGATCATGCTTTGTATATCTTCTTCCAGGACGACTTGCATGCAGAGACTTGCATACCAGCAGCATATTATCAAGAGCTAATACTACATATGTATTATTAACTCTTGATAATGTATATATATATTATATATGAATATAAAAATGAGATATTACAGAAATAAAAAATCTACACCACATTTTATTTTTATATTCATATTTTGCTATATATATTATATATATATGTATATACATATATATAATCTATGAATTCATATTTATCTTGTGTGAAATCCAAGAAATTAACTTACTATCTACTATATACTATATACAATCAATCAGGAGTTAATGAGACAAATTTGTCTCATTAACTCCTGAATCAATGTTACCTTTACCCTTGGTGTCAGGTAACATTGATTTTCTCAGTAAACAACTCAATGTTGCCCTCGCCACAGCGCAATAACTCTATAACACACAAGCAATGTAAGAGCAGGGAAAGGTTGTTAGTAATGCTGCTGACGCCTCACCCTTGTTGGCGTCGACGATTCCGTGAGTAAGAAGCAGCAGTCCGCTGGTCACCTGGGTGAGTTCGGCCACTACGGTCTTGCAGTGGTCAAACCTGTGTGAGAGCTGGTCAGCAAGCAGGCCACTCGACTGGTCACTAGTGGAGGACAGTGAAGAGGATAGCGAGGAGTCCGTCTTGGCCTGTAAGAGCCGGAATCCAGGAATTAGTGGCAACCAAGATGTGATCCGACTGACTCCGATACAATACTGAAGCTAGTATAGTGATGTTATCCTTCTAATAAAGTTGTATAATGATGCTATCCTTCTAACAAGGTTGTATAATGATGCTATCCTTCCAATAAGGTTGTATAATGATATTATCTTTCCAATAATGTAGTATAGTGATGTTATCTTTCCAATAAGGTAGTATAGTGATATTGTAAAGTGTCGTTTGCAGATGTAAGAAATAGTAGTTGGGTGATTAGAAATGTCGCGACGGTGGTTGCATAATGGGTTAGTCGGCGGTAGCGCATTTGATGTAGTATGGATGATGGAGACGAGAAACGGTTGAGAGTCAGTACTTGTGCATGTGTGCAGTAGGTGTGGTTGTCTGCGCGCGCGATTGATTTCTTTGTTAGCTAGAAACGTATAAATGGAAGGTTCTTGGTTGAAAAAGGGGGACGGAGGAGTGTGCGGGTCACACGGATGCATGCCTCTGTGCGCACGCACGGGGGTGCGACTTTTGAGAAACAATAATACTATTTGCTAAACACAACTGCTTGGACTTTGGAGTTTCCCTTCTTCATCTCTACAACAAATCCACTTTGAAACGGGTAACATCACCGCTTCGTTACAATATAATCCTTCCAATAAAATAGTATAATGATATTATCCTTCTAATAAGAAATCTCACTGCAGTTGTACACCTCATATGCCACTCATATAGTTGGCATGCTGCGTTAGACATGCTAGCATCTGAATAGTTTGTTTTTTGAGGGGAATGCGCGACTAACAGACATACATGTGCTACAGCAATGATGTTCACCTGAAACATGCGTAGTTTGGAGAGGAGGGTCATCATAGATGCGAGCACAGCCTGCAGATGCTGCGCCGACTCCAGATATCGCTGCCGATAAAAAAAAAACACTCGAAATCAGAACGGCAATAAAATAATTGATCAAATTCATGCGCAAAAGTTGCAGCACTCGTGCATGACCGAGACAGAGAGACCACTTGGAATATGTGAAGGGCAGAATATAACAAATATTTATAATAAAATGTATTTTTTATAACAAATATACATCTCCAAAGCAAGCGCTTGCATTTTCGAAGTAAGCCACCTCTATAACTCGCTTGAAATGTTAATAGTACCTGGTGAATTGACATAACAGCCGCGTAGCGAAATCTGCAGAGGTAAGCGCGCAGGAAGGGGGAGAGAGTAGCGTCAACGAGAGTTAAGCTAGGTTTACACTAGCGACTTTATGCAGACAAATTGGACCAACTTCCCAACTATACAACCGACAATTGGCAGTGTAAATGCAAAAGTCGCGCAACCAACTGGTTAATAGCAACTAGTTGGGAGATTAGAACATGTTCTATTTTCGCCAATTCGGTGTTGCTGAATCGCAAAATTGGTCCAACTCGCCAATTTGACAACATAAAGTCGGTAGTGTAAACTCAGCTTAACCTGTAACGTCAATAGTAGGATTGTACGAGATGGGAATACAACGTCGAGTCGTAGCTTCTGCGTGAGCAGGACTTGTACCTGTGAACGGTCACCGTTCAGGATGGCCTGCGTCTGTGTGTGGTAGTCTTCTACAGCTGTCAGACTGCTCTGTAGAGTCCTGTCCACGTGCAGTGCACCACCCGACACGAACGCCTGCTTCAGTGCCGCAGACACCTGTCGCACGTGTCGATAAGTTGCATTAACAAACAAACAAACACTGCCTACAGTTATCACTGCTTACAGTCATCATGTAAAAACACTATTTATTATAGATAGACTGATAGAGAGAGAGAGAGGAGAGGGAGAGAGAGAGGTGGGAGGGAGGGAGAGACACAGAGAAAGGGGGACAGAGTGAGACAGAGGCAGAGAGTCACCGATAGGGGCAGAGAGATACAAAGAGTGTGAGTGAGAAAAGGAGAAAGACAGGAGATGGAGAGAGAGACAGAGAGAGAGTGGAGTGAGAGAATAAAGAGAGAGAAATATAGAGAGAGGAAGAGAGAGATAGAGAGAGAGAGAGAGAGAGAGAGGAGGAGAGAGAGAGAGAGGAGAGAGAGAGAAGGAGAGAGAGGAGAGGAGAGAGAGAGAGAGAGAGAGGAGAGAGAGAGAGAGAGAGAGAGAGAGAGATGATGGCAACATGGCTGCTATAGCAATGAAATTGAAGAATTCTGCGTACCTCCATGCCGGTGGTGCATTCACCGAGGCAGACAGCAGCAGTCTGCAATGCACACGCCAGCTCCCCTGCATGCCTGCATACATCGACGATGCCACTGCCGCACCAGCGTGCTTGAGTCCTCCACCATGACTGGTATGATCACACCCAGTCCTACACCACCACACACAGGACGAGAGAGATATGATGCATAGCCACTGTAGCGTACACACGAGGCCAGCAGAGCAAGATAAAGACTCCGCTATGATATATCGTAAATGTTCTGGGATGATAATCCAGCTACATATATAATTATAATATTGCTTCCTTTATAATATATCGTAAATGTTCTTGGATGATAATCCAGCTACAATATATAATTATATATATGCTTCCTTTATAATATATCGTAAATGTTCTGGGATGATAATCCAGCTACAATATATAATTATAATATATGCTTCTTTATAATGTATACGTAAATGTTCTGGATAATAACCAGCTACAATATATAATTATATTACCGCTAATCTACGTTTCCGCTATAATTATTCATATATCTTCTGATGCTACATCAAACTACACATTCTGGAAGCTCTCAGTGGACGTATCCATATCTGGGCCATGTTTGTAATACATAATACTTGTGTACATGGCTTGAATAATACATGTAAATAGTTGTCAAGGCAGCCAGACACTTGACGGGGAGCAACGATACGCATACTAGTGTTGTTATCTTCTCAGTCAAGAACGGAGAACAGTTAGGACCAGTAAGAGAACAGGATACGCACCTTGCAGTAGCGTGAGTGGCGTGGCGTCCCACTTGTCTGATGCTTGCACACAAAGTTGGCGCTGCATTTCCTTGCCTTCCTGCGATATACTCGTTGCTCGCGCAGTCTCCGCCTGAACCCTCAGGCACCTCCCATACACATCGCATGCGCACCACGTCACGCACACTGGTCAGCTCCGTAACAAACAAACAATACAGCCTCATTAATTACCGATTAATTACCGTAATAGTTTCAATGATCTCATCTTCTCGCCAAATGACACGTTCGTCACATATAGGTTTCTTTTTTTTTGTGTTGGGTTTATATAGTTTCCTATATAAACAGTACACAATCGATTATTCAGAAACCTTGGGACCAGACACGTTTCGGAATTCGGATATTTTCGGATTTCGGAATGTAGTACAGTACAGTATACATACCGTATATCTCTGCAACTCGCCAGTATACTAAAACCCAAGGTTTGCAATAGACCAAGTGCTGTACCGTACAGTACAATATGTATGAGTAATGCCAAACATTACTATATTCTGCGCAGTGAACCTTGTGCAGCCAACGCAAGCTTGTGGTGTGGCAGAGACCTCCAAGAACGTTCGTTTTGGGATCTTTTCGGTTTTCAGAATTTTGGATAATAGATTGTGTAGTACGTGTACTGTATTTTCTTATTCCTCATTGCGATATTTAATGTGATATTAATCCTGCAGTGTTAATAAAACAGTGTGTGTGACTGCCGGCTGTATGCGATATGCAGACCCCTCTCCTCCAGTAACTGGTTTGAGTAACATGTAGCTGGGCTTCATATAAGAACCATAATACAGGTTTCGGATCGAAATATTGTCATCACTAGAGATCACTAGAGATGCATCTGCAACGTTGACATTTCAACGTGTCAATTTCAAGTGTCACCTTTTGTCTTACTGGTGTCATCACAGCTCGCTTCTTTTGTCAATGCTGTCAACGCGGTCTCCAGCTGTTGACAAGTGGCAAGCATCTTGTCTGCCTGACTTTCCTCTTGCTCCTCATCTATAAAATGAGTTATCACACGTTTAACTCACCACTCCAACAAACACTCGCTGTTGGAATATGCTCGTATCTTCGAACCTTTCACTTCTCAATTGTTTTCAATTCAGGTGTTAGTCACGAATCAAATGTTTCATTAGAAATTACTAATTCTGGAAATTACTGTTCTAAACTGTTCACTACTAATTTGATCGATCATGTACCACAACCAAAACTCACTGGCTTAGCTTTTTTCTCTCTAAAATGATGCGGCTAACTGCATTGGTACATGCCTTATTAGTAGCTTAAACTGAATGCCTCACAGCCTAAATGATAAAGAATGATAACGAAATAAGCTCCATGAAAAAGCCTGTCTTCAGTAAATGTATTTGTATTCGAATTACATGCAATAAAGATTTAATAATAATAATAAAAATAAGCAGACAGTCGTTGGCGTACCAGCATTCGTCTGCAGTCGATCTATGCTGTCCGTGATGAGATGTCTACAGGCGCTGAGTGTAGGTGTCAGCACCGCCTCCACGCCTGCACCGGCGGCGCCCCCTGCCAGCATCGACGCATTGCTCGACCAGCAACTGGAGTCGCTCAGTTTCACAGACGCTGCAGGCGACGTAACCATGTTATGAAATCGGCCATTGTGAATTTGCTCGATACTAAGCGAGCAAGTATTCAGCACAATAATAGTGATATACTGCATGGAGTTATGTAAATTCCTTAACACTATAAGCGATATAACAATAAAATGCCTTCTTATCTTGATAACTAATATCTCACTAATAAAATATCGTATTTTCTTACCACTACTTCTACTACTATAAGAATAAATTTATTTTAAGATAAATCCACGTATTTGTTATATCTATGCGCATGAATCCATATGTTTATATTATGTATCCACATGACCTGTTCGCAACGTTTATTAAACTCCAAGATTTACATTTAATACTCTCTGATTTACGCTCATGCCACAACCCGCCGACTCATTCGTGTGCTGCAGCCGCCCACAAAGGTGGAGAACTTACCTCGTCTGCCGACAGATGTGCAGCTGGCAGCACTGGAGTGTGAGGTTAGTGGGGACATGCAGAAGCTGGCGCTGAGACGCGTCTTCTGCAGAGCTTGCAACCTACAGACGACAAGTAACGACACTACATGTACCAATCACAAACGAGGAGACAAGAGAACGAACAGCAAATCACAGTCCAGGAGAGAGGAAAACGGACATCCATTCAGTCCAGGAGAACGAACAGCCAATCACAATCCAGGAGAGAGGAGAACGGACCGCCAATCACAGTCCAGGAGAGAGGAGAATGGACAGCCAATCACAGTCCAGCAAGCAGGAGAACGGACAGAGAGGAAAGGCGATTCGTCCTATGTGTTGACTGGCTCGCGAATATGTGAGTTTCGACACGGGTCATGTACTTCATGTTATCTCAAGTGGTTATTCTGAACAAAGGTGCGTTTTGGAACAGCATACATCATACATGGGTGTTTCATTCACGATTATCAAGACCACTGTGTGATCTGCACCGCTTTGCACTTATACTCAGACTAACTATCATGGTGCTCACACATTAGGGCTGCGTAGAGGTGTGGTGTGGCCATCCTTGTACCACTTGTCCTTCGGATTGTAGAACACCTCTTCTTCCCCAGTTTTGCTCGAGGTCTGTAATCGCATAAAAGACACCATAAAAGACACCTGCAACCACTGAACTCGTATCAATACCACATGATGAGCTAAGAGAAGTACGTGGAATCGTACCAATACCACATGATGAACTAACAGAGAACTATGTGGAATCATCTCCTACCTGGAAGAGTTCCCTCATCTGCTGCAACCTCGTGTCAAATTGCTCGATGCTCCACACCGTGCTCACGCCAAGCTTGCGGTTGTGCACGCGAATGTCAGCTCGCGTAGCGCCCTCTCCTGCTGCGCTCTCCCGCACAAACTCCTACGGATAGTACAGTCATAAGTTCACCTGCGGTTAACACACCATCGTCTCTGCCGCATCCCTCCTGGTGCCATCTCTCGTCGTGCCCTCCCTTACATACTCCAGCAGTTTACAATCCAGTCAGTTCACCTGCGATTAACCCTCGATACCCTCCCCAAGCATGCGTTTGCTGTGCTTGCCATTAAGACGTCTTCAATGCGTCTCACACGCGCAAATTTCGATCGAATCAAACGATGAGCATCCCTGCTGGCTTACCATCTGTTTGCCGAGCGTCTTGGCGATCGTGTTAGCTTCCCGCATCATCATTGCCTGTCGGTACAGCTGCGCGCAGCTGAGGCGCTTCTTGGTGGCCGTGCGAGTGGGGCTCTGCATGCCTGTAAGACCCTGTGTTGCCAGGTTGGCTTCCTTCTGTAATGCTTCTAGGACTGCCCATGATTCACTCTCATGCTGCTGACTGTCCTACAGCACCAACATACACATACAACATTAGCATATATAATATATACATATATATATATGTATATAGATACAGAGTGAGAGAGAACAAGAGAATGATGCATAGATGTAAACAAAATAGCTGTGTGAACATTATTAAAAAGTTAAAAGTTAAAAACAGCATCACTTTAATACGCTAACATGCGTGTGATTGTACAAATAGTGTGGGTGAGGGTCGTTTAAGCCAATAGACATGGAGTTGTGTGAAAGCACATTTATTTTTTAGCTATATTATATAAATGAACAGACCTTTTTCATAGAAATCAGATCTAGCTCCAGTCCCTTTTTTGCGATCTCTGCTTCTAGGAGCTAAGCAACAAAAACACACATCAAATGAAATTACCAACCAGGAATCACAGAAACTTAATAAAACCTAAAAACTTAACTTAAAACTGTAACTATTAAACTTAATACCCAATTTAATAAGTGACAGTTATTGACCGTGATTCAGCTTAAAATCATTAGAAAATAAACCGACCCATTTTTCTTGTTCAATCTTGTCAACCTCTTTTTGCGTATGATGCCACTGCTTCTTCTCCTCCCTATGCTCCTCCTTCTGCACATCCTGTCGTCATAGAAACGCAAGATCAATACAGATGACAAAAAGCGACCCCACTACAAAATTAACATCTTTCGAGACGACCAGCTTCTAAGAATTCTTTCGAAACTACTAGATGTTAGATTAATGATGATTTTAAACTGGAATCGTAACGAGACAGTAGCGCCACCTACCAGCACTTCCTGCAGATCTTGCAGCTGCGCCTCGTAGTCGTGTTTCTGCATGCTCATCTCATGAGCAACATCCTGCTTCGCCTTCTCAATCTCCACTAGCGCCTCCTGGCGGACCTTCACCTCCGCCTCTCGGATCTCTGCTTCAACTCTTATCGACCAAAATGCAAAAAATGCGATGAAGACACTTGTGCTTTAAAGCAGCGTTTCGGCCACAGCTGTGCAATTTCATGTATTTTCTTACTACCGTGATACCTAGATATCGGATACCTAGATATCTAGATATCGTGATACCTAGATACCTGATACCTAGACCTTATACCTAGCTATCGTGTAATTTACCAATTTATATCTGTAAACTGATCACATTTTCACTGTTACATATTTTGCAAGTGTATAGTGTCCTCTGTGAACATAGAAATATACACATTGTCAGTGATAATATGGTATGTTGAAAGCTGAGTTAGAAATCAACACATAGAAGAACAAAAAAGGTGACTGTAGCAAGATCTATAACTAGCCTAAAAACCTCAGCTATTTATAAGTTGGAGGAAAGCAGCTGCGATAGAACCACAGATTATACTGCCAGGTAGGGTAGACATTAGTTCCGATCGCGTTGGTGACTTACTCTGCCTTCTGCCTCTGTACGAGTTCGTCGTAAGCATACGTGAAGTCCTTGTTTCTACTCTTGCCGCCCACGGAGCGTTTCTGAGCCGCGGCAGGGTTGTTCAACCTACACAACGCAACAACAAATGTTGAGCAGACAGAGCTTCGTTTCTCGTTTAACATCCGTATTGTGCTGCTTATGAACATGAACATGTACGTCATCTAAAATTAAATGCTAATGTTAATACGCACCTGAAATAGTGATCACCTCCCAGTACCAGTCGATCGCCCTGCAAATACAATGAATATGCACAGGTTACCATCGCATATCAACCATTATCAGCACATATATGGGAAACAAAACACCCCTTTAGGCACGTGTTAGATTTGTAACAGTCAGTCATCTGCTAAGTAATATTGGAGTGAATGAATAAATTCCTCTAGTACTATTTAAATCGTCAATAAATGATAAATCTGTTTTATCTCGGCTCTCATAGGTACCATTCAACAACCATAATCTCACTTTGTCTTTATCTAGCATTGCCATTGGTTGCATTAAGAAAGAATGAGACCCTAAAAATGAAAAAAATGAAAGGACACGGCCATGCCGCGCGAGCTAATGCTCCTCTGACAATGCCTTCTACTGTGACCACCTGCGAGCGAGACACGGCGGTAACGTACGTGCTGCAGCTGCGTGGCGGTGCTGATAGCGGCGCCGTTAACATAGGTGGGTGCCTCCGCACACGGATACACGGTCACCGCCTGATCTTCGTTTCGTATAGTGCTGCAACGAGAAACGGAAGTCTCAATGGTGGGTGCAATCACGCGTCACCGCTGACGCTGTGGTTGTGTTTACGGTGATTGTGACCGAGTCAACTCCACTTCCAGAAATCGCACTTCCAGAAATCGTACTTCACGCCCGCTAATTGTCACATCGCCATAACAGCATGTGCACCTCTCACTTTGCTTTGACTCTATTTCCCACGAAACTATGATCACAAACAACTACGGACGCGCGCACACACGCATGCACACACCCACACATGCACACACACGCACGCACCAGTGATTCGTTGCGATGAGTGCTCCCATTAGCTGAATGTCACGGGTGGTGCCCTCTTGCATGCGACCGACAGTCGTCACTCCGCTCTTCAGAAGGTAGAGCAGGGTCTCGGATAGCTGCGCATCTTCATTCAGATTGACCAGGTAGGGCGTCTTACTGTCCACTTTCACTGCGACTCCAACTCTCTGCAAGAAAGCTTACCTCATTTACTCATCCTCAGTAACTACGTATTATGTTATATTACGTGCGAGTAAGTAAATAATATATTAACTGTATAACAGACGTTTGTAACTTTTTATGTAAGCTTATCTCATTCTCACACCCTTAGAAACCATGTATTATATTATGTGTAAGTAAATAATATATTAACTGTATAACAGACGTTTGTAACTTTTTATACAAGCTTATCTCATTCTCACACCCTTAGAAACCATGTATTATATTATGTGTAAGTAAATAATATATTAACTGTATAACAGACGTTTGTAACTTTTTATACAAGCTTATCTCATTCTCACACCCTTAGAAACCATGTATTATATTATGTGTAAGTAAATAATATATTAACTGTATAAACACCCACACGTTTGAAACTATATTATAACGTACATATGGATGACTGGCCATCTCTTTAACAACCTTTTTTGGCTCTCTAAAACAGCCCTTGTCATGAATCAATATTCGTCTTATCATTAGTCTTAACACAACTGTAGACTGTTGACAGAAACAATGTAAAGTTACTCAGTTTCTCA